TAGCTCTCCTATACATCCTGAGTGTACGATAAAATCTTCCAGGAAGTCCCCCAACCGACCGCTCCCCTTTGCTCTGATCACTTACTATTAATTACAATGCTTTATCTCCATGGTCACACCAAACCCCACATCATCACACAATGACATCCTGAAGAAAAAAAAAGACAGCATCTTCCTGCAGCTCAGTCTTGCGTATGAGCCGACTCCTGCCTGAAATTCCAGGCAACCTTAACCTGGAGGACAGGGATAAAAGGACCATCTCTGAAACCATGCCCTGGCCAGGGAACACCCAAAACTGGCTCAGGGAGCCAGAGTTTCTGAATAAGTCACGGACAAGGCAGGAATGACCTGCCCCTGATCAGGTCCCAGTCGCTTCCTTAACCCCATGACCTGGGGAATAGACAGGATACAGGACATGGATCCAACCCTGAAGTCCACATCGTATTTATGGAGGAATAGCCTGAGCTCATACTTTGTGTATCAGAACGTGAAGTCATTTGCGATCAAGATACATCTACATATAAAGCTATAGACTCAAAAAAACTTACACAGAAATTTAAACACAGAAAGTGAACGTTTTATAAAGGAGGCAGACATGTAAACATGGGATAGTACTTACTATATTCTTGTGCCATTGCTATAGACATTTAGACAACAGCATCCACACTAAAAAAGTACAACCTAAAAAAAAAAGAGAAAAGAAAGAAACATGGTTAAAGTACATAAGAAGCTTCATAAAATACAGTAGTTGCATAACTTTGATAAGTTCTTAGTTCTAAGAGAGACAAACCAGCTTTTCTAAGGTAAAGCAGCTGCACTTAAATAAGACATCACAGAAAAGTCTGCAGTATTAGGGCATCTCCAAATATTTTCAAGTTAAGATCATCTGTATCTATTTCAGACCTGGCCATCAAAAAATAAATCAAACAAAATACATTCTAATTAAGTAATACTGCCCTGGACTGCTCTTTATAAAAGTAAAACAAAATAGGAAAAAAGTCATAATTATTAAATGGACCTCAAAAACTCAAGTGGTCTGCCCTCTACAACACACAATCTGAGTACATCAGGTTTAATCTCTGAATTTCTAATCTCAGGCACTTGAGAAAATGGTTCTTAGCAGGAAAAAAACGCACATATCGGATTCAAATATTTGGCACTGCATCATCTCACGTACTAATAAAACCTGTGAATATCTAGCATACCATGAAACACGGAACAAATACAGACACAGAACTGGAGACACAGTCCAATGAGCATGGTAAGCCAGATTATCCCACATAGCTGACCATGGTTTGAGTCCTGACCATGGAGGTTTGAAAATCACACTGGGCACATGTGCATGGGTACCCCAAATCCAGACAGGATAAAAAATGGAAGAAAAGAAATAGAGATGTGATCACATTCAGTAGGGGGAGGATGCCTCTTTCCTCTCCTTCTTTTGGTCTCTGGCAAGCATACATGCCCTCTGGCAATTAATTATACATACATATAATATATACACATATATACACACATACAGACATACATACACATATGTGTACATACATATGTATATACATATATGTCTTATATATAAATTCAATTTATATGGTTTATTTTTATATAAATATAAATATTTATACATTTATTCATGATTTATATATTTATTTATATGAATTTATTTATTAATTTATATGTTATTTATGTGATTTATTTATATACATATATGTATGTCTATGCATATATTTAGACATTTATCAGT